ATGGACCACAGTGATATCTCTGAGAATTGATATGGGTGGGATAGTTGGCAAAATAGACACATGTCACTCACCCAACCTTGTAACTTGTTTGGGTTTGTTATCAGCTTATCATGTCGTTTTTCTTTCCAAGTGGGGAAGATCTAATGGTCACTTTGTGATTTGACCTGTTGGGGGGACTAAATTGTTTGATTCTTCAGTCGTCAATTCTTTCATGTCATCACTCATGAATGCTTTATTTCGAAACAAGAATATTAATTTTACTGAACAAATTTCAGTCGTTGATTTGCTCTACCACCTTTTTTCTGTAATCAAATCATGCAAGTGGGAGCAGCCGAATTGGGTCATGACTCTTGAGGAACATTATGAATTCATTGAATTCTATAGGTATCTTTCCTTGACTTCTATTAATCTCATCTCCCTCAAAAAGAGAATTTGTTTAAAAGAACAAAGAGAACATATCATTTCCATTTTTCCAGCAAAAACTTCGTACATGGTACAAATGCAACTGCTTATACAAGTGTGACATCAAGATAAAACGTTTTTGGATGCTCTCTCGCACGTGAGGAGAGCCACGGAAAAAAAATATTCAAAGCCTAGGGTTTTGCACCATTAGGGTTTGGTCCTCTCCTTTCTTAGTTTTCGGCTCCTGCTGTTGATCCTTAGTTGTCTCTAGCTATGTGTGCCTCTGTTGTATCAGATCCCGTTGCTCTCGGTCATCGCCTTGGCTGGTGTGGTCTGCGTGTAAGTCTAAATAGATATAACATGAAATACACTAACTAACCTGTTTCAGACATGATCAGTGGCGGACCCAGACTTTCGTTTATTTGGGGCTTTAAAGAAATTTAATCATTATATAATCAAACTTTGAATATTAATAGCATTGTTTAATAAGTAAATTTACAATTGTCCTCGACGACTTTTCATATTCTGAAAACGTTGCATAATAAGCTCATTATCAATACTATTAAATATGTCTTTTTCAAGATATACTACCAAGCAATCATTTATCCATTGGTCTCCCATTCGATTACGCTTTCTGTTCTTCACAATGTTCATAGAAGAGAATGCCCTTTCTACTGAAGTTGTTGCAACTGGAAGTGTTAACGCCAATTTTATGAGAAGATAAACTAGTGGATATGTCTTGTCCTTTTTTGTCTCAACTAGTTTTTTTGCAAGAGTAGCAATACCTTGTAATTCTGAAAAGTTGGTGTTGGAATGCATATCATCAATATAAGCCCGGATCTCTCTAACCATTTTGTTCTTATGCCTATCATCCAGCTCTTTGAGGTTTTACATAAGAAAAAGGGTCATGGCACGCTAAAAAAAGAAGAGGAGAGTTTAATGAGTGCATCTAATAAAACCAATGTGAAGCGTAAGCAACTAGAAAATGTGGTTACAGGTAGTGATTTAATGGTGCTGGGTGTGAATTACGTTGGTAATAAAATACTATGTAATGGCGCTTGTTCTGATAAGGCCAATGAGACCAATCTTGTGGGGTATACTAAGGGTCTACCTTAGTGTGCAGCTGGAGTGTTCGTGGGCTTGGCATCCAACGAATGCTTTGTTTCCTGAAGCCTTCTTTAGGTTAAGAGGCCAACGTGGGGTTTTGTTTTGTGTGGTGTTTCTTTGTTGTCAATCTTTCTACATCCTTCTACAGTTATGTACTGCTCAACGGACTATGTTTTCTTTCATAGGAGTTTTCCTCTAATAGTGTTAGGTTGCGACAGTGTGTTTTCATAGGGGTTTTCTTTGATTTAGTTTTTATGTTTTGCTAGCATTTTTGTTTTCGCCGCCTGTTGTGTTGATCCTTTGCAACTATTCTCTGCTCTGCGCATCCCGAATAACTATGCTTGGCTATAGGAGGTTTTTCTTTGTCAGGGTCTGCGTTGAGTTGGTGTGCTTTTTTGGGGTCCTCTTTGATGTCGCCTCTGTGCGCTCTCTTGTGCCTTTGAACATTGGTGTGCTATGTAGTCAGTGTGGTGTATAAAGGACTATGAGTTCTCATAGAAGGTTTCTTTTGACAGTTGGAATGTGTTGCGATTCTCTACTGTGGGTCTATTGTGTTAGTATCTAGTTAGGGTTTTTCTTTTTCTATATTTGTTTTTATAGTGGTCCAATGTGGCTTGGGTTGGACTCTCTTGTTTATCCATAGCCGTTACAGTCGTTTCATGAGATGATATATAGCTAATAGGTTGAGTAAACCCCAAAATTAACAGAAGTCTACTAGATGCATATATCAAACTAAATTATAAAGGAGGCCAAAGAAGAAAAGAGCCTTGTACAACATATTAATATATATAATTTATTTGGCATTTTAATTGCATTGTACTTGTTTTTGTTTATCTTATCAATAAAATATTATCGCTTTTTTATTAAAAAAAATAATTTATTTGAAGTTTGTAGCTCTAAGTGATAGAGAAAAATAAACGTATAATCGTTTTGAAATATCATTTTATAATTGAAAATTAGAATTTCTTTTCGTTGTCTTGAGCATTATTATCATAGTTTTAATCCCTTGAGATTGGGAAAATAAAATCAATGACATCATCACGCATCTTCTTCATACTTTGCCACCCATGACCTAACTTACATAAGAGAATTAGAAAATGAAAAATATTGTCCCTCTGGAAGGAAAGATTCTGATAAGCTTCATTCTTTAAACAGTAATGTCTTTTGGCTCATGTTCTGATCTTCACATAAAAATCAAAGAAAAAGAAATATATCTCTTGCCCCCAGTTCAGCTAGCTCTCACATTCAATGCATCAGATTCTGGGATGACATCTCAACAAATAATCAAAACAAATATTAAAATAGAGAGAGAGAGAGAGAGAGAGAGAGAGAGGATTGGGTTTTAAAAAGGACGAAAGGAATCTCTCTAGTTTCGGGCCAAGGCTTATCTACTCTGGATCCAATACGTTCTCTCATTTTCATATGATATCTTCTCATCACACGTTGTTGTAATGCTCATATATTATTGTTATTATTTCCTCTCTTTCTGGTTTATCTTGGCTCCTCAATTATTGATGTCAACATTATTTATTCTCACAACAAAGTTTTGAAAGCAAGATCATCATTTGAACAGAGCAGATTGGCATTCACAAATACATTATCCTTTTCTTTTTCCCCTTCAGTTGTCTTTTTGGACTCTGGCATTTATATTAACTTGCATTGTTTAGTTTTGCATTAGTTGTTTAAATTAGCTGAAATATTAATCCTCCATAAAAGTAGGTGTGTGTGTGTGAGTGTTCATAATCACATGGAAGAAAGGAACATACATTGGCAGGTTTGCATAAAGAATTGTGGAAGGGAACAGACAAGGATCTCCAGCCTGACAGCATTGCTCCAAGGGGATCTGTACTTCTGGGAATTATATATTTATGTAAATAATTTTGGACAATGGAGGGTAAGGGTGTCCATGTGTTTGATGGGTAATGCATGACCAATTTGATGGCGATTTGGTGCATGAATATTTTATCTAGCAACATATTCATTTGATTAAAAAAGATTTGATTTAAAGTTTTGATGCCTTCAATTATATTCCATCGTCATTTATGAATTTCCTGTGAACGGAACTCCTATGTTTGTGGGAGATGGAAATGGAAGATTCTCATTCAGAGACGGACTCAAGATTTCAAAATGGAATGTGCTAAATTTACCTTACTTACAAAACCTAATAAGAAGACAAAAACCTAATTGCAAATCCCTAATTGATAATTCATACCACTGAATTGAAAATCCCTAATTTATATTTCATGAACCTTAAAAAATTCCCAAATTTTAGTAACTACAAATTGAGGAAAGAAAATTTTAAGATTCCACCAATAAAATAGATTTTTCGCTAACATTCCACCAATAAAATATGACCCACCAAGAGAATTGAACACGGTGAAGGGCTAATGCGTGAAGTGGGATAGGCTGTAGGGTGGGCTACAAGTGACTTTGGGCTGAAAAATAATAAAAGCCACCTAGGCTATAGCCCAGGTTAGCCTGTGATTGGGTCCGTCTCTGTTCTCATTACAGAGTGGAAACACTGGAGAATAAAGATGAGAAATACATTTTTTTTTTCCCATTTCCATGTTTGCTTTGCACAATATTATATATGAAATGTAGAACATGTAGTTCCAAGAAAGTGTCTGAAATGTTTTCCCAGGTGGAGGGAAAATTGCAAATGGGAGAAAAATGGTATGAGAATTTCATGTGGGTATGAAATTCGCTCTTACATGGAGAGTTCATACTAATGTGTTAAGTATTACGTTTTCAAGTATGTACTTACCAAATATAAAAATACAATTTCATACCACTTTTCAAACTTTCAAACCTTGAACCGATGTGTAACTCAAAATTATGATATTGAACAATATATATGATGAAGACTTCTTGTTGAAGTTGGAAACTTCCCTGCATATATCTTGGAAGGGCACATTACAGATATCAAGATAAGACTCAAATTGGAGAATCTGTCCCCATATAAGATCACAAATATTAACACTCTCACATCACAGAATATAAGCACCAAAACAGCAGAGCGCCAAACGATAAAACAAGAGACACCACATCAAACCCGAACCACCCTACATACAAACTCAATAAAACCCAAACCATAAAAGCAGAATTGTATTAAGGGAATGATCTGGCCCAATATAAGAGCTATAAACTTGAGCCCAAACCCAGCAGAAGTACCTCATTATCTGAGCTGCCCATTATCATCTTGGCCTTGTCCACATAAGATTTATGAAAAATATAGCAACGCAGTTCAAATTCCTATCCACAGAATATCTGCAACAACAGAATTTGCACTTGTCTACCATCAACAGCCAATCAAATAATGCTTCCTATCAAAATTCCCACCATTACTTTCTCCAACCAGCACAGAACACAAACAAAAACAACAACAACAAAACTAAAAAACAATTGTTTCTGGGTTTACTTTAGAGAAGAGAGAAACACAAGGCTCCTCCTACTTGGCACAATTGGCCTAGTCAGTGCCACACTCTCATTCAATGGTGGGTGCGTTCTCAGCCCAAACCCAAGGTCTCAAGCCAACAACACCACCAGCAACTACTGCTCTGTTCAACCCATCTCTCTCATCACCATCTGAATTGCTTTCAACTTCTCATCTATCACTCTTCAAGGTGCTACTCAGTTTTACACTCATTTTCATTTTCTGTACTTTTGGTGATGGGGTTTTGCTTTATAGCTTATTTCTTACTTTTGGATTTTTTTTTCCTTTCTAGAACTCCACTTCAATTGCCTGTGGATTTTCTTCAAAGCAAGCTTCTTTTCTCAGAGGTCAATTCTGTAGCAGACACTTTCTTGGGTTTGATTACAATCTTGCTCGAAGAAAACAAGCAGGTATCTATGAGAATTTATCAATTTCTATTATTGTCTTGTTTATGAGGCAATTACTCCTTCCACCCTTATAATTTGAATCAAAATGTAATTTAGCTTAGCTTCTAAAGTTTCAATTTGATCAATGTATGTAGTAACTATTCATGTTTTTCGCTACAGTTAAGTCTATTCATTAAACATTGTTTTAATCAATGGGGAAGGGAGATTCAAACTTCGGAGATCTTCCAACATTGGAAAGAGAAATACCATTAGACTAATAGCTAGTTTGTTGTTCTATTCATTATACCTACTATAAAACAATTGTTTGCCCACATCCTAACAACTTCAACTTTTGAGAATAGTGGTAAACGAACAAAATTAATCACATTATTTGGTAACATAGTAGGAGATCCTGAGTTAAACTTGCTATTACATCCTTAGAATTAAGTCAAATTCCATGTGTTGGTTCTAACGGTGAAGAGAAACTTACATGTGAGGGAGAGTTTAAAATAAAAGAATAATTATGTCTGCATCCTGATACCTTAAGCTTTTGGGATGGATATCGAATGATATCCACGTGGCTGCCGTTGGTCCATTTTAAGTTTATGCGGCCACCATTTGAGCCATTTTTAGGGTAGAATTCAAATGAAACTTATTTCATGCTCAAAATATCCAACTATGGTCGCATAAACTTAAACGGGTCAAATGGAGCCATGTTGGCTCAATGGTGGTCACATGGAAAATGTGAAAACATTAGGATACACTTTGACAAATTTAAATTTAGCTTAAATTATAGGAATGGATTTACCCTTATCTATTTAAATAACATTACAATGTTGCCAACTGGTGTGGTTTGTTTACCTTTCATCTCATTAGGAATTCAAGATTCTTCATAAACAATTGCAAGAGCACTATGTATCATTGCTTGAATCAGATATGGCTTCTTACAACATCAAACATAACATTTAGGTTTTAACACTCTGTTCTCCACCTCATTTGTCCAACAAATAATGGTGCTTCAGTAAAGTCTTATAGCTGCATTTGATTCAAGCATTCAAAATCATGGGATTTAAATTTAGTACTTGTATATATTACCAGGAGGAACATTTAAGTTGCAAAAGTAAAATGATAGAGAATAAAGCTCTTGCTCTCATTTGGGAATTTGTTTGAAATGCCTTTTCCACTTATTAATTTAAATCCTCCTCTGTTACATGTGCATGTATAGAAGTAGGTTGAATAAGCATTTATGTTGAAAGTGTCTTTGGGACAGTTTAGAAGTTTTTGTAGGTGTGTCTTGTCTATGAAGTCTTCCTTTCATTTTTGGTTTGTTATTAGTAGTAATTATGAGTCATCATGCTGTTATGTCAGTGAGGCAACTGACAACGGCGCAGATGCAGGGCAGGGAAGTAAGGGTCTTTGTTTTTATTGTGATGAAAACTACAGGCCTAGGCAAATGTCAAAGAAACTGTTCATGATTGCAGCATGCTTGGAGGGAGAGGACGGCGATAAGTCTACATGGAACAAGAAAATGGGTCTCCAAATATAACCCTTGACAACAAGGGCAACGTTACAAGGGAAGGAATTGTTCACACTATGTGATTGTGAATAGTTTCTTACAACGATGTCTTGCCTTGCATTTCTTCATCACAATTGAGACAACAATCCTTACTTCTCCTCTCCTGTATCTGTAATACTGTCATATGTCTCACTAGAAATTTTTCTGTGAACTTATTTGTTTTGCCCATCAGATTTGATGCAAGTGATGGCATCCATCTCTTGTTCACATCTAATTAGGATCTAATTAAATGAGTTTTCATATAGGATTGTGATTTTGATTTTACTTCTTTTGATTTCTTAACAATGCAGGGCATGTTGTTTCACCATGCTGCGTCCTTCCGTTAACTGAAGAAAATGTAGAGAAAGTCTTGGATGAGGTACGACCTGGCTTGATGGCTGATGGTGGGAATGTGGCACTACATGAGATAGATGGCCTTGTTGTGGTATTAAAACTGCAAGGAGCTTGTGGGTCATGTCCAAGCTCAACAATGACACTAAAGATGGGAATTGAGACCCGCCTGAGAGATAAAATACCCGAGATTATGGAAGTTGAACAGATTCTGGACAGAGAGACAGGTCTTGAGCTAAATGAGGAAAATGTAGAAAAGGTTAGACAAATCATCATCTCCAACTAAGTAAAATTTATTTATTTAATTTATACATCAGTTCTATGAAATTGTTTTACACTCTATTGTCATAGTGCTGATATGTCTCAAGTAATTAGTCTAAAGTTAAATGATATCATTACTCTTTACCAATTTCCATGTCGAAATGAAATTATAGGAACACTTTAAGTGATAAATTGAGGTCTATTTTGTGCAAAGTGAAATTGATTATTTTTATGATCGAGGGAGGCACTGCTCTCCAACTTCTGGTGAATAAGAAATATTGCAGAATGAATTATAAATCTCAAAAAACTCCATTTTGCTGCTACTATGGAGAAAAAAAAACCCTCATCAACAGTTGCAACTATGCAAGTTCCTGAACCAAGAATGGAACTTGGAAACTGCAGTGTAATTTTTACAGCTTATACAAATGTACTAGAAAATATTTGATTTTGGAATTCATCTGAACATCTTTTTTTCTTTTTTTTTCTTTTAATCTCTGTGTTTTATCATTTAGTACTGTCTTAGTAACAACAGCTGGTGATTCTAAAAGCAACAATTTTTCGATCAACTTTGTACAATTCTCTGTTTCAATGAAGCCTTAGTGCCTCCTTACCCACAAACTAGCTAATCTAGTAGAGTAGAGAACATGTTGAAGAGTCTGACTTTGGTTATCTCCTTAACCCTTTTATTACTTATTTCATTATATGGCATGCAATCTCATTGCTACTTTAAATATCTATGTGACATAATAAATTCATTTCCAGTTAGGGGTTTCGATAAACTTTCTTCATTTCATGTCATTATGACAACCTCATACATAATGAGTGCTCAACTTAACTCGATGGAGCTACATTCTTTTCCAGGTTCTTTCTGAGATTAGACCATATCTTGCCGGCACAGGAGGTGGGATCCTGGAGCTTGTACAGATCGATGACTACGTCGTCAAAGTACGGTTAAGTGGACCAGCAGCCGGGGTCATGACAGTTCGTGTTGCTCTAACACAAAAACTGAGGGAAAAAATACCCGTTATTGCAGCTGTTCAGTTGATAGAATGATAATATACCATCAAAAGTAAATCTATTGTGAATGTATGATGCAGAGAATGGAAAATTTGTTCGGCCAGTTTTTGTTGAATTATACTCATCAACGCCTGAAAATACATGGTTCCTCGTTACATTGCAAGCTTCTTTGTAACTTACACGAAAAACATTGCAAGTCTTCGATAACTTGTTTTCCACTTGTAGCGATTATGCCTCCCTTTCGTCCTGCTTTGATTAGCCAATTCCATTCATTGACTAATTATTTGATATTAAGTTAATTAATTAAAATAAAAAACACTCATGGTTAAACATAATTATTCGATTTCTTCCTTCCGTGCATTCGATTTCCCTCTTCCCTAATAGCGGTTGTATAAAAAAATTCAAATATTAACTTTCTAATGTTTCGTCTCGTCTCCTCTCCCCTCCCTTCCATCCCCTGCTTACTTAACACCTCAACCAACTCCTGCTCGCTAAACATCTCAATACACCAGCTTCCGGAGAATATTTTTTCCCGCACCACCAAAAACTAGTGTACCCTACCCTCTCCGCTCTCTCTTTCTTTTACTCGGAGTGGAATGATTAGATCATAAGTACATTATTTAATTGAATGTTTTTGTAGTGGAACTTTGCACAGTTATGTTACATTGCACGATGCTATTCTACAATAAAACAGGGTGGCTACTCAAAATGTCTTGTAGATACCAAAACAAAGCATATATTCTTCATTTAACCTCGTATATTCTTCAGTTGTCTGTTAATAGTAATCATCATCTTCTTCTTCGTCTCTTGATCCAGTGAATCTCCTTGCAACAGCAGCAACAGCACCAAGAAACGCAAAGAAAAATAAGAGTTGGAAACCACCACCAATGCTGACAGCAACACTAGGACCTGGGGCGAAAAATGAAAATGGTGACCAACCCCAGCCTCCAAAGAATGGTACTCCATAACCGTATCCATAACCACCAACTAAAGGCGGGGCTACTGGAGGATTGATATAAATATTGGTCCTACAAAAGAAACACAGATTAACATTCTTTAGAAATAAACTTAAAGCACATTACACAGGACTGTCATCAATCTAACAATAGTTCCATAGAACAAGTCATTTATGAAAACAAGTCTTCTTAAGGATACATGCATTGAGTGGTCATACATTCGTCCACAACTCATGAGAGGGTCCTGTAAGCTTGGTATACATTATTGTCGTATTCTCTAATGGATCTATTGGTTCTCTAACATGGTATCGAAGCCTTGTTTACAGCAGGTACTAGGTTCATGGTTGTCTTACAGGGAATACCACTATCATTCAAATTTCATAGTAAAAAGATTTGTTCATTTGGGAAAAAAAGAAAAACAACTGAACTAGAAAAGATTAAGAGCAGGCCCTTCTGATACAGGGATACATCAGTCCAGCAGTTAAAAGTTGTCTGAATGAAGCAACGAAGCGATCGAGAAAAAGAACTTGTTTCCTAATTGATCTATAGCTTAAGGTCACTAGAATTTGAAACTTCTATATATTCCTTTGAAAAAGAACAATATAAAGCAAAGTACCAATACATAAATCAACTTATGAATACAAAACTAGCTATTATAAAATTAGCACAAATGTTTTCAGGGGCAGACATTCCAGCTAAAAAAAAAAAAAAAAAAAAAAAAAAAAAAGCAAATTTGTTCAACAGCAGGAAGTAACCTTTTATCCCAAACCAACAATCCATTTCAATTATTGAATTGAAACAAGCCATTTCAATTATTGAATTGAAACAAGCAAATTCAAGCTTCTTAATACCTTGAATTATTGTTGATCCTAGGGGATGAAGACCGAGGAGGAGCCGAAGGCCGGAAGGCCTGGCCCCCGATTCTACCACCAGTCTTGGCAGCTGATGCATCATGAACTGGGCCCAATGTCAACACCCCAGCTGCCAGTGTCACCATTGCCAACTTCGCCAATTTGTTCTCATTCTTTCTAAGCAATCCATCATCGCTATATTAAACACAAGGGTATCCCAGAAACCAGTCACCACAAAAAGAATCACGCTTCAAAAAGAAAAAAACCAGTTCAAGAAACCAACCTATTAGATTAGTACCTGGAACAGCCTTTGTGGTCATCTGTTGATGAGTAGCTTCTTTTGCACGAGAGGGTAGTGTTAGCAGCAGAAGTGAGAATCTTGGTTTTGGGTTTGTGGGTTGGTGGTGTGAGAGCGTTGGCAAGAAAGCTCTGTTGGGATGAGGCCACTGAAGCTGCCATGCTTACTTCTTTATGAGTTTTGTGTTGATCTTTTCTCTAGTTGCTGCAAGACATGATGACACAAAAGCTTTTTCAGAATCATTTATGATTCTGAGGTTCCCACGTGTCGTGATATAAATCGTTGATACCACAAGTAATGTTAGATTTCTCACTAAATATGTTTTGGGCCTTCACCTACTGTATGTCAACTTAAGATTATAACCCATTCTGACCCAAAAACATAAGAAAATAAATAATAAGATGTGAACGTTGATGATACTATTAAATCTCAAGCCAACCCAAGATTCTGTCCACCCACAAACCACTTGAAAGTTGAAGGCCCATTGATAGATGCGGTTCTCACCTGATTTGGCATAGCCCACCAAGTTGGAGATGAGTGATCCCCAATCTAATGGCCCACGACATTGTCGATGTCAAAATAGAGAGTTCGAGTACCATTTGAGTAAATAATTTAGAAGTGCAATTATTGATGGAGGAGAAAGAGTGAAAGAAAGTGGTGGTAGTTATGGGAGAGCAAAAGAGATTGGTGGAAATTATTGATGAGAAAGAGAGAGATGAGGAAATTGTGGAAATACTTTTATTTTATCAAACTAAATTCTAATAACTTGTGTACCCTTATTATGTGTGTTTAATAAGGGAAAATTGATGAAATATGGATATAGGAACCTCCTCACGGCCTAGGTTCTTTCACTACCTCGGGGTCAAAGTTTTATGTGAGCGACCAAATGATGTGGAATGGGTAGAGATGAATATTGAAGGTGAAACGTAATGAAACAAAGAATAAGTGCGAAAAGTAAAGGTGCTTAAACTTAAATATAATTTAAAGACAAATGCGTAAAGTAAAGTGCGAAAGATAAATAACGTAAAGACGAGAATTAAAGTGAGATAAAATGAATCAAAGCAATAAATAAAGCAAGAACGAAATGAAAGCGATATGAACGATATAGTCAAATGAACTTGAAATTAAACTTAATTGAAGTGCGATAACAATGAAAAGTAAAGCAATTGAAATAAACTTGAATTTAAATGACAAGAAAATATAAATTGAACGAGAATTTAAACTTACACTAAGAAAAAGGAAGAACTCACTACATTAGGTGCATGAAAAAAGACGAAACCCTAAGGAATTCTCTCTAAAAAAAGCCTTAGGAACTTAGCTCCAGCCGTCGCCCCTCTTTGGGTGTGGTGGTCTTCTTCCCCACCCATCTCATCTCCTACCCTTCCCTCCCCTTTTCCTTCCTCTCTTTCTCTACCCTTCCCTCCCCTCCCCTCCCCTTTCGCCCTTCCTCTCCTCCGTGTCCCTCCACTCTCTTCCATGTCCCTCCCCCTCTCTCTCAGGGTTGTTTACCAACTTTTTGGCTGGATTTTTGCTTGGTTGCGTTGGTGATTTTGTTGCCGGCTTTTGTGGTATACTATCCTTGGAATCTTTCTTGCGTTTGGTGTTTACAGTTTCTTGAGTTGTAATAATTGCACCAACTCTTTGTGAGTTGAGTGTTTGTTTGTCGTGTAGTCTCTACTTGTAGTTTCCACTTTTGAGAGTTTAGAAGTTGTAGTTGTATTGGTAGTTTTAGGCACTGCTTTTCATGTATGTCTTGTTCAGGCTTGGGACTTTTATACCAAAATTTCTTTGGCCTTGTGGCTATTATTGGAGATACAATTTGTGCGCTTGATGTTGTTGGTGTGTTCCTATTTATCTGGATTAACTATGTGTGGTTACTATGCTTCCATCTATGGATTATCCCTTTATGGGTATTTGCACTCGCCCTTATGGTTTATGGTCTTTGTGTCTAATTTATGAATACAATTATCGCTTTTCTCTTAAAAACAGGTTTGAAAAACTTATTCTCTTAAATAATAATACCAATAGATGATAAATGGGCTTTCAACATATAATAATTATAGGAAAACATGTACAACTTTTTTTTTCTGTTCTCATAAATAGGCCAATGTGTAATTGGTGGCACCTTTCTAGGTGTTTGGTCCACAAATCCAAGCCCAATGCTCAATATTTCTCGAGCCTCTATATCTAGAGGTTGTACATTACTCACATTTCATTAAATATAGGTCATTGAAATAATCTAACCATCACAAAGGTCATTGGCAATACATAATACTTAGGGGATTGTATTCACTTAAGATTTTAAAAGATGTTAAAGAAGTTTAAAAGTCTAGGAGTATTCAATCATGACTTTATAGAAGTCTATAAAATTATGGGTGTATTCAATCCAGACTCTTTAAAATCCATTCAAATATGAATGTATTCAATCATGACTTTAAAAGACTCCGTAAAAGTTTGAGTGTATTAAAAAAAAATCGTTGACTTTAAAGGAAATACCAAAACTGGTGGATTTTGATTGATCCTAGACTAATTCTAGGCCATCACAAATCTTTGCTTCCCCTTAGAGATTTTGATAGATATATTGGTTCTTCTCAAGATATGATTTCACCACCTCTACTACCACCATCTTGTCATGACTTCACCACCACCACTTCTGCCACCATGTTACCACCACCACCGCCACCTTGCCATGGTCATTACCATCACCACAACCACACCCAGCATCACTAATAGGTTCATAAATATATTCATTTAGTCACCATTCTTACTTAGTTTTTGTAGGAGAATTTTCTTTAAAGAAGACTTATTAATTTATTTTTTCTATTTTCAGCTTTCTGGAGCACTTAATCGGTTTTCAGTGGAAATATGACTTTTTGGTGGAATTTATGTGCAAGGCCAATTGGAGAGTGAAGCTAAGACATTGAATATGCCTCTGTAATTTTTCTAGAATTTTTGGAGCAGCCAATTAGAGCAGTATTTCAAGACAGGGAAGCTTAAGGTGAAATTTGGAAGCATCTGGGTTACTGTGCCACAAATGATATTTTAAGGCCTTTCCGATTTTTTCTTGAGATGGGATACATATGGTTGGAAATATAGGACATAGAGCTTCAAGGTACATATTTATCCAGAATTTATTGAGAGGAGGAATGAGCCCAAAACGTTCCTACAAGCAAACTGCAGTGAAATAATCGTCAAACCGGGCTAGCAGCTGTGCAGTCAAGGAATATTAATATTTTTGATAGCTTTCGTTGAGAATTGGCAATAGGACCTTAGTCCATTGGAAATATCATCTTCTGGGCTTCAATTTTGTGTGGTCAAAGTCTTCATTTCGAGTTGGGAAGCCCAAGTTGTGATGCTTACAAGATTGCTTGGTCGTGCATGAGCTATGCATGCATTCTGCTTGTTAATGGATCATTTGATTCGTCCCCAAAAGAAGGAAGTGGGAAGAATTGGCTTTTATTTTGGCTTCTCACTTCCTTCTTTTGTGGATGAATCAAATGATCCATTAACAAGCATAATGCATGCATAGCTCATGCATGACCAAGCAATCTTGTAAGCATCACAACTTGGGCTTCCCAACTCGAAATGAAGACTTTGACCATACTAAATTGAAGCCCAGAAGATGATCTTTCCAATGGACTAAGGCCCTATTGCCAATTCTCAATGAAAGCTATTGTAAATATTAATATTCCTTGACTGCACAGCTGCTGGCCCGGTTTGACAATTACTTCACTGCAGTCTATTTGTAGACACATTTTGGGCTTGTTCCTCTTCTCAATAAATTTTGGACAAGTATGTACCTTGAAGCTCTATGTCTTATTTTTCTAACCATATGTAGCCCATCTCAAAGACAAATAAGAAAGGCCTCCAAATATCATTTTTGGCAAGTACGTAGATGTTTCCGAATTTCACCTTAAGCTGCCTTGTCTTGAAATACTTCTCTGATTGGCTGCTCCAAAAATTCTATAAACATTATAGAGGCATATTCAATGTCTTAGCTTCACTCTCCAATTTTGCTTGCACATAAATTCCACCAAAAAGTCATATTTCCACTCAAAGCGATTAAGTGCTCCGGAAAGCTGAAAATGGAGAAAATAAAGTAATAAGTCTTCTTTAAAGCAAATTCTCCTACAAAAACGAAGTAAGAAGGGCGAATAAATGATTATATTTTTGAACCTATTGACCACCGTCGCCGCCACCACCACAACCATTGCCACCATCACCCTTACCACCTCTACTACCATCATATTGTAACCACCATGACATCTACCACCATTGTCACCACCATCCCCATGCCCATCACTACCACACCCTCCACCATTATTGCCGCCACCACTACTTGACATGATCATTATAAACACTATCCACACCACCATTAATGCCTCTACCATCCCCATCACCATCACCATCACCAACATCAAACATGATGGCCCACCGCCATTTCAAATTTACAGAAATTTATCAAATTTTATGATAAGATTCTAACAAATTTCATTAAAATCCATATAAAATTCAATTGTAGTATATGTGGAGTTTATGATAGTCAAGTAATGAATAGAAAGAACAAGAAAATGAGCGAAAAAAAAAAGAGAGGAGAGAAAGAATAAGAAAATGAGAGAAGGAAAGTGATGGAGAGGGAGAAAAGAAAAGGGAAGGAAGAGAGAGAGAGAGAGAGATAGAGAGGGGGGAAGAAATTTTAGATCGATAAATTGCCGCCAAATCCACCAAATCGGGTCAAACACGGCTGACCAATTCAATTATTTTCACTTGATTTTCGATTTTGATTAGTAAACCAAACCAAACCAAACAGCATAGGGGACTCGAACCCTTGGCATATTCTTACTGGAAAGAATTAGTTCTACTACCCGACTAATCACTTTGTTGTGAAATATAAGTATAACCAATATATCTAAAAGCTTCATAGAAGAATAAAAAAAATTAGGGTTTCAATTCTAGCACTTCTTTCTCTGGAGTTGCACTCCCTATTTTTTTTTTCTCCCCAAATCTTTCTTCTCTGATCCTTTTTCTCTCTCTCTTATCTTCTCCTTCTCCTTTTCCTTTTCTCCTATCTTCGCAGCCACCACACACCATCCCTTCTTCCTCGATGTTGCCACCGCATAAATCTAGTGCTCGAACACACACACACACACACACACACACACACACACACACACACACTCTCTCTCTCTCTCTCTCTCTCTCTCTCTCTCTCTCTCTCTCCTGGTTTTGTCGTCGATGAACAGTTCTGACCGAAACCATCAGTTTAACCGACAATCAGCAAATCGACAATGTCGACGTTGGTGGCGGTTTCTATTGTAGCATTCAGACAACCGTCAATTTGGTAGGCAATTTCTGTTTATCAGTTCAGTTATCGAACCGAACCTAGCCCTAAAGAATAATGGTAGACAACTCCTTGGGGAGTTTAGTGGGCTTTGGACAGGGGCTACCAAAGTGGTTGGAAGGTAGGTTGGGCCTAAAAGATTGGATTCTATTGAGGGATCCCTTAAATAATTTTATTTGAGGAACACCCTTTAGGGTTCCCCCTACGAAATTAATTTTCAACAATCCAAACAATTTATTTTTCACATATCATGCTTGTAAAAAATCATGTAAATTGAAAATCATTAAGGCATCTAATTGAGACCCACAAAATCAATGAACACAGTGCTTCAAGAAAGTATATAAATTTCAATAATTTAATTGAGTGATCAAATGATATCAGATTAAGTATTTTTTTTGTAGAGATGATCTTTGAACTAATATCTACAATATAGATGGTTTGAATTAATGAAATACAATGTGGAGTAGGCCCTACAAGGGTATCACTTAAATAAGCTTATTTGATGGATCCCTCAACATAAGCTCTCTGTACATATAATGCAGTTGGTTCAGTTTGGCTTCAATTGGTTTTTTCAGGAAATAAAGTGGAACTAAAACTGATCCGATTCAATTTTTGAACCTATGTTGACTGTTTTGGTCAACACATTTTTTTATTAATAGTTTTTTTTTGCTTAATTTAATTTGGTTCAATTCACTGATTCTGATGCCCACTCCTATCAAACATGCTTAAATGTAGGAGTAATTTGTTTATGGTATTAAAGGGTAAATCCAATACCACCTTAAGTCGGATTCGGATCCTCTGCTTGGATTTTCTCTATCATGATCTGCTTTACTTTTCTTCTAAGGGCACCACCTCATTAAAATTAGAGTGTAAGAGTCCCTCAGATGAAATTTTAATGAGGTGGTGCACATAGAATAGAAGTAAAGCAAATCATGGCAGATAATATCCAAGCAGAAAATCCAGATCCCCTTAAGTTATGGGGCGGGATCTAAAAACCGACTAATAAATTTCAAACTGCCTAAAATCATTTTAAATTGACTTCCGGTAATGTCCTTATCTGACATAGTTTGCAAAATAAATTGGACCCTTTGTCTGGTCATCGAATGACAGGAAAAAGCCATGTAGTTAGTTGGTTTGTGATTCAAAATGGAACTCGTTTGAGCAATTCTAGCCTATCGTTCAAGCCCTATTTTTGGGCAACATGATGATGAGTTGGTAGATGGGTGTTTGCTGCCTTCTTTTTCTCTTTTGTACTCTTTCAGAATTTCCCTGTTGTCAATCTTGCATGTGACGCTATATATCACCCACAAAAACCATCTAATACTTCCAAACTAGGCAACGCTACAAAACCTCCCCATGTGGTGTCCTCAAAATCCCAACCAAATCCTCCTGTGAAAAAACGGTGATAAACATATTGGAGGACAAACAACTACGGATTCAGAATTTTTCAGTAGATGTGTAATTTTTAAAGGCTAAAAGCTTAAAAAAAAAAGAAAAAAAAAAAGAAAAAAAGAAAAGGGATTGACAACTAAATATCCCTATAATTTAAACAATACTAATGTTATTCATAATTAATTGAAAATAATAACATTACAATTAACCTACAATAATTGTTGCTGACAAGGTTTCATATCATGAAAACGTCGCATTATATTTGCATTACTGATACAAGAAAAAACATCTTTATCAATGTAAACAACCAAGCTATCACTTAACCATTTATTCCCTATTTTGTTACGCAATGGTGTTTTCACAACATTCATAGCTGAAAAAGCTCTCTCAACCGAAGCAGTTGCAACAGATAAAACCAAAGCTAATGTAAGAAGTAAATACACATAGTTGTATAACTATGACTAATTGACTATAATTTATCAATTAAATAAACAAATCAATATCAAATTATCAATTAAATAAAAAAAATTAATTTTACCTCGAATCGTGTGTCGCGCAGCCTCTTCCTCCTCGAGTTTGCTACTGATCTTACTAATACATAGATAGTTAAATAAGAAAAAAATGAATAAACAAAATTGGTGTTTGCTCAAGAAAAAAAAAATGCATCCAACTTACTTTGGATTGGCATACTCAAGAAGGAAAAAAAACACAGAATTCTTGTGATGCATGCACACTTTGATAAAATTGTGTGATGTTAAATTGGTACTTTATAAAGAGAATTCTCAATCCTACTTAAATAAGAAATTGTGCAAGTCCTATTAAAGCCCAATTAAATAAAGAAAACTCCCAATCCCATTTAAATAAGGAACTATGGAGGCCGTATTAAAAGCCCACGAAATGGCAGCACCAACAGGTTTCCATTTATAAAAAAAAATAATAATAAAAATAAAAATAAAAATAAAATAAAAATAATAATAAGGCATGGTCCAAAATGAATAAAGCCTGATCCAAAATGACGTCGTTTGGTGGCAAAAAAAAAAAAAAAAAAAAAAAAAAAAAAAAAAAAAAAGCATGGTCCAAAACGATGTTGTTTTGACTAGGCTTCGTTAAATAAATAAATAAATAAAAAAGAAAAAAAAAGAAAGAAACACGCAGCAGCCCAGCAGCATAGTGCCCACTCCATTTAAACATTTCGTCAAACACCTAGCGTGCATCTCCTAGTCTGAGCAGAGGTGCAAAATGCAGCACCTTTTATGAATTTTTCGACGAACGGAGGTACAGGTGCACCTCTTTGCGCCTACACAGGTCTGCGAATGAGGACAAAGAATAATAAGAAAACAAAAAAGTCTCAAAACCCTAAAATTATTTTAACTATATCAATAAATAAAAAAATTTAACATATATTTCTAATATACTGCACAAGCGCTATCTAGTTAGTAAATTAATACATTGTTAGTGGTGAGCTTACTTGAAAGGTAATATCATAATCCAAACAGTTCATTTTCTAAGGCCTTATTGAAGAATAGTTCATGCAAAAATTCAATCAAATTGAAAATCGTTTAGTTTTCTAACTATGATTAAATAAATGGACAACACAATATTTGACAAACATGACAATATTCATAACAATAGTCAGACGACTAACTGATTTTGGGTGAACTTTTTGCATGAATGATCCTTAAATCACGACCTAATAAAAAATTAATGGTTTGGATTCTAAGATTGCATTATTGAATGGGTCAAAATGAATAGTTATAAATGTGGTAAAAAGATTCGAAAGCATTTATAATTGTATTACTCTATCTGCGGGATGGTTTGATCATTTATTGTATATGATCAAAACATCTGAATGCTTTCGAAAAGTAGGGAAGAGAGGAGAAAGGGAGAGGGGAGGAAGATAGGAGGGGAGAGTGGAAGAAGAACAATGACTTCTTTCTCCTCAAAGTAAAAAACGGCTCTAGAGTATTTTCCGAGAGAGGGGGCTAGAGTACTCTTAAGATATTTCCTAGCTACCATGATTTATGGAATCCAGATTTTCAACCTAGGATTAAATGACTTTTTCTTATATATTAAACATTGTTGTTATTGGATTTTGATCTTGATCCTTTATGCTAGGTATATTATTATGAACATATACGTATAATAAACCTACAACAACGTATGTAGTTGTAAATACATTCATTATATATATATATGTATGACTAGCCTCTTGATTCACGTTCGCACACATGTCAAAAGGCTTTTTCATTGTTTAATTTTTTTAAAATCCTTTTCTATAGAGAAATTTTTGTTGGACATTAACTCTATTTATTTTTTTAAAATTATTTGTATTTGAATAGATTATTATTTTACGTATTTGTCCCGTTAAAATGTAGTAGTTGCGTTTAGAAATACATTTTTTTTTCTTTAACAAGAGAAATTTTGAATTATTTGGAAATTTAATCTTATGAGCTTGACGTTTGCTGAGTGTTTATAAATGATGTATATAAACAAGTATATCTCATCATGAAATCATAAGATTGCAACCACCACGTACGCTTTAACGAAAGAGCCAGATTTCAAACTTGTACACGTGGTATGGACCACCAGCATAATTGGGTATGTCCGTAGCCCGAGCTAAAGCCTAAAATGCAGGGCACCCACAAGAACAAAGCAACAGAAATTTGGACCGACGGTAAGACATAGGTAGCCTGATTTGATTTGATCAACCTCTCCTCCCTCGTGAAAGAGAATATTACCAAGAAATAGAGCATTCACTATTGAAAGAGTATATCTCAACAAAATTTGTTGCCAGTAAATTCTGGACAATGCACATGCAGTGATGTCCCGATAATCATTGAGGGTGGTGGCTTGCATTTAAGTTTGAATTTCTCTTCAGGCTTGTGTACGATCATCTACTCGATGAGTAGACTTTTCCCATATCGGAGGCTTGAATTGTCTGATATATTAGAGGTCATAACCCAACGAATCTTGCCCCACTGACACACACACATATATATGTATGCTCCAACGACAAACGTTGAGGAAACTTTAGTTACTAATTTTGCGTGATCATGAGATTATTAAGTGGTATTACTAATTTACGTGTTGCATATTATGTATAAGTTAATGAAGGTTATTAATGCATGTGTTAAGTATATCAGTTCTATTTTATTGAGGGATCCCTCAAATAATTTTATTTGAGAGACACCTTTTAGGGTTCCCTACAAAAAAACAAAAACAAAAAATTGAAATATCCAAACTGTATAATTTTCAAATCGTCATTCATAAATAGTCTTTGCAAAAGATCATGCAAATTGAAATTCATTAAGGCATCTAATTGGGAGCAAACAAATAGACGAACATGGTGCTTCAAGAAAAGACTATAATAACAACAATATGATTGAGTAGTCAAATGGTTTCATATTCAAGTAATTTTGTTGTAGGGATCTTTGAAGGAATATCTAAAAACTAGACAGTTCGGATTATTGAAATACAATACATGGTGGGGCCTATAAGGGTGTCCCTCAATTAAGCTTACTTGAGAGATCCCTTATAAGGGACACCTTCTCCACATTATATTTCAAATATCCGAATCATCTATCTTTTAGATATTCTTTCAATGATCATCTCTATGAAAAAAAATCATTTGAATTCGAAATTATTTGACCACTCAATTAATAGTTGTGATTTTAGTGCCTTCTTGAAGCAAAGTGTTTGTTTATTTTGTTGGTCACAACTAGATGTCTTAATGGTTTCCAATTAGACTAATTTTTTGCAATGGTGATCTAGGAATAAAGACTTGAAAAATGGACGGTTCAAATAGTGAAATAAAATTCATAGTGGGTCCCAAAGGATATCCATCAAATAAAATTATTTGAGGAATCCCTCAATATATAGAAGGGGACTATAATCTGGCCTTCTACAGTGATCCTCCAATCAATCAATTGCTAGAGAAAAGAAAAAAAAAGCCACAAAGTTATTTTCATCATGTTATCCACAAACAAAGCTGCACAACGCCATTATAAAATTTCCAATCATGATAATGTGCCAATGGTTATAATTTTAGTACTTTCTTGTTCATCTATTTTGTTGGTCATAACTAGATATCTTAATAGTTTTTTGATTTGTCTAATTTTTTGTAAGGATGATATATGAATGAAGACTTGAAAAATAGACGGTTCGGATCATGGAAAAGAAATTCGTAATGGACCCCAAATGGTGTCTCTCAAATAATTATTTAAAAAATCCCTAAATAAAATAAAATTGTATAAATTCAGCTATGAGTGTGATGCCTGTCTTAACAAGACGTATGTTCTTTCTTACGGAATGGACACATCGGTAGGTAATTGTGTCACAAGATCCTAGCATAAATTACGGGTAGTTATGCATTGGGGATGCTAGAAAAAACGCACGGAATCAAATAATTAAGACTAGAGCTTGGAAATAATGAGGTAAGTAGTAAAACTTAGGGCAAAGTAGTAGGTCATTTGGTTCCATGTATCTTTTTCTTCTTTATACCATATATAGGAAAACTAAGCAACTAAAAAGATACGCACTATATACTAGCAAGTAGCTGGGTTGAAAAAGGAGGAGTGGACTGAAGTAGGAGTGAGCTGTTTGATTTGAAATGTGGGAAAAAGTTGAGAGTAAGGAGAGACCCTTGAAGGGCAAAGAAAAAATAGTACCACTGGACTGGAGTCATGTGAGGGCATTTATATGGTGGGGTTTTGGTGTTTATGCCTCTCAATGCACATGGGAAAGAGTCCTTTCTTTTATGGTAGGTGTAAAAGGAAATGAAAGCATGTGAGGCCATGTGGCCAATTGACCACCCAAACATTTTGCAACCGAATCCTTGTTAAAGCTAGAGTACCTCTCTCTCTCTCTCTCTCTAGAGATCACGATAGTGAAATTTCCACATCAATCCTATCTGGTGCCAATGAACAGTTTTATTTCTCATAACTGACACTGATATTTCTATTATAAATTTGTTTTCTTTTAATATTTTTAAGCTGTCACACTCCTATATATGCCATATCCATGGCCAGCATTTGTTTAAAACCAGGTGCTTCCACCACCATTACTCCATAGAGAAAGCTTGGTTTGCCGCCGCTGCCACCACCACCATATTTCTTTTCCTCCTTAATTATCATTTTCATTGCTCTTGTCAGATTGCTCTTCTATACCTTTATTTTCACTTTATAAATAGTGTGTCAGCTAGCATTTTCCTCTCTTATTTGTCAATAATGGTGATGAGGCAAATGAGTAAACAACATCGACGAGTTTACTCTCTTCATCCCATCAAATTGGCACGTTCTGTGTTTGCAAGAAAATATCTAAGTCACTTATTGCCGGCTCTGAAGAAGATGTTTGAAGAAAACACCATTTCCTCATCGAACAAAAATGTTGATGAAGACTACTCTAACTCTAAGTTAGAGAAACTTGTTGGGTACCAAGTGAACATGGCAATGGTATTCTCTGCCTCAACTTATCAGTTTGCATGGAGCCGTGCCTTGAAACAACAGCTCCAAACAAGACATGTACTCATATATGGTGAGGGATTATTGCCACGTCATCATGTTCCTAAGCCCTTGAACTTTCTCCCAAATCTCAGTGTTAGTGCCAGCAAGATGAAGAGGTACTCGAATCATAATATGTCTAATAAGGTCAGGCCACATTTTCTGAAAAGAAATTTAGCCATGAATGGAAAGACAAAGAAAAGCAAAGAGGCAGAGATTATTGAGAGGAAGTTGACATCTCTAAGACGGCTCTTACCGGGTGGGAATGAGATGGGTGAAGAAAATGAATTGTTGGCAGAAGTAGGAAGCTACATTTCTTGTCTCCAGCTACAGGTGAACATTCTTAGGTGTCTAGTGGAAACTGATCAGTTGATTGATTAAGTAGTTAATTTAGTGGTCTAGGGGTAATTAATTATGTATAACCTTTCTATTGTGAAATTATGCATTCATATATAGCAGGGTAACAAGTTGTACACTTATTATATGTGATCAAGTTTATTTCTTGATTTATTTTGATTGCATATTGCTATGGTTAAGTTATATTATGGTGATGTTGGTTAAACCCAGTATTTTCAGGTTTCTTATGGGCTGTGTCCCTGGGGAGTAATTATGAGGAATGTCGAACCAATAGGGTGTTAGTTGGATTGGCCTAAGCCTTTGGTGTGCTTCCAAATGGTCCTAGGTTCAAACTCCCATTGTACGGTTGGCAAAAAGATAATTATCAGGAATGTTGACTTAGCATAAGGTAAATTCTTGCAGCGGATGTGCACGAGCTAATGAATAGTTTGGGTATTTTTTCTATTAATAATGTGTCTCATATAGGCTCGCTTGTTTTTCTTTTGAGGGAGGAATGTCCACTTGGCTGATGAATTGTACACTTGATGATTCTATTGCTATAAAAAATAAAATAAAAAAGGGTTCTTATGCAAAGGAGCTACCTATTAATCTAAATTAGTATGAGTTCGGTTAGTATTTAAAGTTCAAAAAAAGAAAAAAAGACGTCAGCCACTTTTTTCGAAATACAAATATTCTACGCTCTTGTTGTACCTTGGGAGTTCTGTCCTTTGGTAGCATTAACATGTCAAATTGCCTTCTCAAATTTTTATATATTTTTTTTATTGTACTCGTTTAATAATAAATAGTCATTTTAGACTTGGAAAAATGTAACCAAATTACTGTATCTTCCAACATGTGACCATATAATTTGATTTGTTAAAGGGTAATCAACATCCTCCCAGGCGCTTTGTTTTGACTTATGGATATTCGACAACTGTCGGCAGAGTTTTAAGTGTTGGTAATTGAAATCAAAACGTAAAGGATGCTCTGTATATTGAAAGCTGATGATTCTCTTATATTAAAACAGAACAAGTTTACAACTTAAATAGAAGCAAAGAAAACAAATTCTAACTCCACTATAACCAAACAATGGAAGCAAATTGTGATCGTGGTGAGCAGACTCAACCACATCCCCTACATGCTAGGACTCTAGCTTGACTTGTTACCAGGTCAGCATTAGTTAATTAAAAACTTAATTAAACATAACTAATTAACTCTTAACATTAAGTCCTTCAACTTCGACATGTGTGTTTCGTGAAGCAAATATGGTAGCAAATGAATTGGCTAACTTTGGTCATCAACTCGATAATCCTTGTATACTTCAAGAAAACACTAAAATAAAAACTATTAATTGAAGTGATATCAAACATTGAATACTTAAAAACTAGACCATTCATATCTTTGAAATTCAATACAAAATAGGCTCATAATAGTGTTATTTAAGGGATCCTTCAACTGTGTGTGTATATATACATATTATAAGTTGTGTTGTTGATTTAAACCATCCCCCACATCATATAAGATACAAGTCAAAAATGCATCTCTCAGAATTCATCATCTCCTCACTCGTTCTGCTCCAAACTGATTTTTCTAAGACTAGTGCATCCATGAATGTTTAGGCTCGGATACTTTCACTTCAAATGATTCTTATAAGGAAAATTTGGACAAACTTACAAGTTTTATTTCCCAATATACACCGGATGGTTTTAGGAATCTCTCAATGGCTGATGACAATGGCCAATACAAAGTATATGGTAGCGTTCTTTGTTTTGGTAATACCTCTGTTGGAGATTGTGGAGGCTGTGTTCGAAAGGCAATTGCTCAGATTCGGGGACTATGCCCTTATAACAAAGCTTTGGAGCATGCCACGTCAAATACTCGAACAATGATTTCTCAGGCCAAATTGACAACAAAGTTCGATGTGATGTGGCTCCGCAAAATGTGAAAAATCCCAAGTCCTTTTGTAAATGGACAAAATATCTGTTGAATGTCCTTGTCGTCAACGCTTCTACACTGAAAACACACTATGCTCTCGAGACGGTTCGGGTTTCTTATTGGAAGGTACATAAAATTATGAGGTGGGGAAATAAGAAAAAGGATCTTCATCTTGTGGCTCAATGCACTGGGGATCTTTCGAGATGTCATTGCAGGAAGTGTCTTGATTATTTGATGTTGGAACTTCCAACTTGTTCTCATGGAAAAACCTGAGCAATGGTTTATTCTGAGAGTTGCTGGGTAGCTTTCTCATTAGAAAATACGTACTTTAGCATCGTCCCAATTATGGGTGAGTCCCCTACTGTGCTATAAATGTTAAATTAGTCAGAGTTACGTACTGTGCTCTATACAGTAACCACATATACCTATGAAGTACATTACAGACCATGCTAAATATGAAGTACTGACGGAAAATACTTCAAGGTTTTATAATAATGACTTGAATACGGATGGAGCGGCCAGCCCGATTCGCCTCTTTGCCATTGATTCCAGCAATCTGAGAAATGAAATTAGAATATTTATTATGTGCAATTTGATGATAATTACTTCAAAAAGAGTTGGGATTTTATAATTGACCAAAAGAGACATAGAACCTCAATTGGTGAGGGCAATGAGAAGTTTTAGGAGTAAGATTGATAGGATGAAGTTTGTTTTTATTTATTTTTTAATTTTTTGCAGTTGAAGATGGGTAGGGAGAAAATAGTCTAGAGATTAAAACATTTGCAGAGATGTTTTCGTTGTGTTATGGACTCTGGAAATATATGTCCAGTTAGAAGGCAATGTGAGAAGGGAACATAAAAGTTTATGTAACCATTTAACTGTATCCTCCAGCATGTGAGAAAGCAATGTGATGACTAGTGAACAAGCATTAGACCACTCTATCTTTCCTTTTTGTTTTAGTTAAAGCAGTTCTAGTAGCCAATTCAATAGCTTTTTTTTCCGTCAAAATCGAGTTTCATTAAATAGAAGGCCAAAGCCAGTTACACCAACCAGGGGAGGCCCTGAGCATAGGCAAGCAAGTCGTTTGCCTAGGGCCTCCAAATTAAGAGGGCCCCAATTTTTATAAACCTCTATTACTTTTAAAAAATTGTACTATATTGATATTATATTAAGCATAATAAGCCCAATTATTTACTCTAAAACTAATTAAGAAGAGGAAACTCAATAAAGGACCAGTTATTATTGTTAGGTTCATTTTTATACATGATTTATCATGTCATTCACTCAATGTTTTGAGTTAATTCTTGACATTTTATAGATTTTTTCTTCCTTTTTGTGTTTTTATAGATTGTACCTTGGTTGGAATAAATGTGAGTTAAAAGTGAATTGTTGAATATAAATTCTGATTTTGTTCATTTTCGTAGGTCAACTTCTTGACCTTGGATCACCATGCTCCGGTGCTCGAATAAGGTGAAGCTCTCCATGAAACTTGTTCCAATGCATGGTGACTACAACATATCCGAATGTGAGCTCCATTGAACAAGTATAGCCTAACCAACCGATCCAGCATTGATCCTAACTCTGGAATTGTGGTTTGGACCACCTTTACCTCTATTGGATGTCACCCTCTCTTTTATACTTGTTACAACACCACTTGGTAACAATATTTTACCTAGGTAAGCTGATCCCTCTTAATGCATTAAAAGTCAAAGAAATGATGAAATGGGGACATTAGCCTACCTTGCTTTAGGAAAAGGTTCAGTATCTTATGGATTGGTAAGTTGGCAAGGGAGAGAGGGCAGCTAGGGGGAGGAAATCATTTGAAATATTCTAAAACACTTGAAAAACAAGAGAGAGAGAGAGAGAGAGAGAGAGAGGAGAAGGGCATCAGCAACTAAGAGGAGGAGAAGAACTACACCATATTGAAGATCTTGTGCCTTCATCTTCACAAAATCTGTAACTTCTTTCTAGTTTTATTTCAAGTTGTATTTACTATGAACATGAGGAACTAAGCCTCATAGCTAGGCCTTAGGTTGAAGGCCTAAACATGCATATTCTATTGTTTTGATGCTTGAGTTTATGGATTTCTAGATGTTGTTGATGAATTCCTCTTCACTGAATTAATCTATCCTTGATGTATATTTTCCTTGATTGATCACCCTTGAAAGCATGCTTCTTGAGATTGTTGGGATTATATGTATCTTCATGTTTTCCTAAGCAACAAATGGATGAAGTAAGAATCATTCATATGAATTGGTTTCTTGAATGCCTAATGTAAACACCATACTATTAGGGTTTTTATGAAGTTCATATTCTTTTCAAACTTAAGGGTTTCTTTATATGATTAAATCGAAGTACTAAACACACCTAGATTGATTGTGTAGGAAACACAAGTATTGTAGCACAAAACACGCACTTTACTTATCTTAGCGAGAATCATTGCATCTTGATTCACTAAAACCAATCTTGATTGTGAACATCTTCATCAATGTATCTAGAATTCATAACTTGAGTATCCATAAACATGAGTACGATTGTTTAGGGTGGATTCCGAAAACCCTAGTGTTTGTCACCATATTAAATTATAGTTTGTTAATCACATTTGTTGATCTTGCTAAAATTAGATTTCAGTAAAATTTTAAGCATTAGAATTAGTTCACTTGAATCAACCCCCACTCCCCCCTTGTTTTGTATGTATGTGTGTTGTTTGAAGTTTTGAGTGTAATTTCCATTGAATTCTGCTCACTTTGTATATGTTTTTGACATTTGGCTCACATTGAGTTTTTCATTTTTCCGTGCTGAATCCAACCATATGAAGAACGTAAATTACTTTGGATTAATGGTTTGAAAGTTACTGGTCAAAAACGGGATAGAGGTCGAAACTGGAAAACAGAGGAAATTCATAAATTCCTCTTTGACCTAAAAGTGCTACAGTATCCAGGTGATAAAGAAGTGATACAATGGTGATAAAATAGTGACAAAGTTGTGATACATGAGTGATACAAAATGCTAATTGTGTTTTCCCTTGGTTTCTTGTTTTGTTTCATTCCCTTCACTTTTCTTTACTCATTTCTAGTATTCGATTTGTATTTAACCTTTATGTTGTATTAAATAAGTGTTCTTTACGTACTCAACTAGACCTTTGAATAAGCCTCCAATTTCTCGTGGGAACGATTTCGTATTTACAAATCTATACTCCGTTAGATTCATACACTTGTGGGTATTTTTAATTGGATGATTAACACTTTAATTTGTGCCAATTATTAATACAAAAATTATTTTTCTTTAAAAGTTAAACTAATTTAATAAGTTAACCTAGCAGCATATACCTTAGCAAAAATTTGGAAAAAAAAACCTACTAGCATATAGGAAATTATGCTCTACTCGACAAAAGAAAACAAAACAAGCACTTTATTTTTACTAAAAACTTTAGAAAATTTAGCTTAACTCCTTGAAATTCATTTTTCCTCAATTACAACCCATCTCTTTATTTTTGTTTGAATAAAATCCTTTTTTTTTCCCTAAATAAAAACCCAATGACTAGGATCCAACTAGACAAGTTGCCTAATCAAGGGCAAAATTGAATTTATTGTACTTTTTCGATTTCTAAGATACCCCCAACTAAGCCATTTTGTATATTAATGTATGAACCAATATAGAAACAAATTTTAATTGGAGCGTAACTAATGACACACGTTGAATTTGGAATCTCCAAATGGATGTAGAAATTAATTTGGAAACTTTTTATAAATTTAACAATAAATTCATATTTAATTGGTTTATTTAACCCAAACAATGCCTTGAGCATTCCAGTAGAACAAACATTTTCTGAAACGCACTATTAAGTTTGTTAGGCAAATAGATCACTCAAAACCATAAAACTAATAACAGGTGGACATTGTTGAAAAAAAATTGCAAGGTTCCTTAAGTAATAAGTTATAAGAAAACATTTCGAGCAAAGTATTGATAAAACTTGTGTAACTCCATGGAAAAGTTAAACTCACAAATTAGACTCGGAGCTTTTTCTTTTGTTGGCAAACTATACAAACAGGTTTAAGCATTCATGCAAATTTTCTGTTATAATTGCTTCAATGGCCATTCAAACCCGATAGAAACGTTATGTTGCAGAAGAGTAAGAGTCCTCTAATGCGGGAATCGAATAGAACGTGAGACAGCGTTCTAACGACCCATGATCAAATTCTAAGGTTGTGTGATCATGGTTCCAACCCTGTCTCACACTTTCGATCCCACATTATTGAAGGACTCAAGGAGTGGATACAAAGACATATGTTGCAAATGATAAAGAAAGAAAGATAGATAGCAGATTATGGCAAGAAAACTGCGGGACACTGTTTGGCCCCTGCACCAGAGCAAAAATAAACCAAACACAGCCCTTTTCTGGCACTTGAAATACATTAGAATGGAAAAGTAAACAGAGTAGGAGAGTTTGATATATAGCACAGACCTGCTCTCCATCATATCTAGAAATGTTTAACTAATTAGTCCTGCTTTCAGTTTGTCTCTCTTTCTTCCTGTATCCCTCCTCTTCACTTTGATACAACGTTGCTTGCGACCCTTCCTTTCCCTGGTAGTATTTCTGGATTCTTACACTGTATAATGCTGCTGGATTGTATCGATGTCTAGGCCCTTTAGCTTCACCACCGACTCCACGTGTCCCTTGAGTGTGTGAAGCTCCCGAAGTCTATAAACAACAAAATCAAAAGATATTTGTTTTCAATAAAGTAATGGAAAACGGAATGTATTATCTCTTACGGGGAAATGTTTTCTTGCCAAACAGTCTGATATATTATGTCAACATGCTGCTAGACTGTCAATCTGGACCATTGAGCTAGTTGTGTGGATTCAGATTGATAGTATGGCCACATAACATACTAGATATCTGGCAAGAGAAGATTACCCAGCTTTCGTGACTTCGAAAGCGATGTTCTGAATGGTGGCTTACCTTGCAACTTCGGCTCGTCTCTTGGCCTGCTCAGCAATCTCAGACAGCTCTCTGTAGCTGCTCTTGTCATTGAAGAGATTAGCAGCTTCTGGTGCCTGGAGACCATGCAGGGTCCTTTGAGCAAGAGCCCATTGAGCTTCTCTCTCCTCTTTTCCATAATCTTTCTTGGTGGTAAAGGCAGTCTGTTACAATAAGAAAAAACATTAGAAAACTTTGACTTCTCTCATCAAACTAAATGTATAATTCAAAATAGATGTACCTTGTTCTCAAGCAAGTTAAGCCAGGCTTTTCCACTCAAGATGTAACGGATGGCGAACTTCATTAGGTCGAGTGGGAAATAAAAGACAATACTGTAAATCCAGATGACACCGGCCCATCCCCAACCAACTCCTTGTATTCTTGCAAAACCCCAGTTGGCATACACTGCTATCAGAGTTGCAATCTGAAACGGGATAATCGTTAGCTTCGTAAAGCAGCATTATGACAATAAGAAGCAGGGCTGTGCTTGGAACTAACTGGTAACATGTATAAACACTTTCTGTGATTTCAAAAAGCTTGGAAAGGATGTGCATGGGAATGTTCTTACCAGCTGCGCAATCATGAAAGCACCGAGTAGTAGCAGTCCAGGGCGTTCAAGGAAGGACCAGCTGCGGGATCTAGTCACGAAAATGAGAGCCTGACTCACAATACTCACTTGTAGGTATAAGGCAGCCATTAGTTCCTCAGGACTCTCTCTTATGGATCGTACGCCAAATTTGTCCTACAACAGAATGAGCAGAAAATGCATATTGGAAACTGAACTTCATGAAAGTTTCTGTAAAACAGAAGGAGCCAAAAGAATGCAAAGAGTATCTTACAGAGAAGAAGTCGGTTTCTTTTATCAACCAGAAGAAGATAACAGTCATCAATGCCAAGTAACCTCCAAGCACAATTCCGGTAGCAAATATCTCTTTCAATTTCCAGCTATCAGGCAAGGGTGATGGCTTTACTCTGTCCTTTGAGATTGTCATAATTGTGCCTTACAAATTTAACAAGTCCATGGTGTCAACAGTCATAATTCTCAATACTGTTTTACAAGTTCACTAGATCAAAACTCATTCACTTCATAGAAGCTTACCGTCATTCAATATGGCAATAATCAAAACCATGAAAGGTGAGAAGTCGAACTTCCATATGAGTGCGATGAACATGAAACCAAACTGCAATGTTTGCCAAAAACAAAAAGCAATTAGATCAAGGCTTGAGTAGAGAAACAAACCACAAATTTTAAACCACCACTGTTTACTTACCACAATACGGATTGTGATGGAAACTGCATAGATCTGCAAGAAAACAAAACAGAAACAAAGAAAAAGTTACAGTTCCGAGTCATAAACTGTTTCTTCAAACCAAAAAGTTCAAAGTAGTATTTTGAGAAGAAAGGCAGAGCAACTAACTGTGTAGTTCTTCATTCTCTGGAAAATAGCTCTACTGGTCAACACTGCACTAATGATGACACTCAATCCGGGTTCTGTAAGAACAATGTCGGAAGCACCTCGGGCAGCATCTGTAGCATCAGCAACAGCAATTCCAATATCTGCCTTCTTCAATGCAGGGGCATCGTTCACACCATCGCCAGTCATTCCACAAATGTGTTTTCTCTCTTGCAACTTCTTCACAATTTCGTATTTGTGCTCTACAACAAACAATATTGTGTTACAAAACCAAACCAAAATATTGTTTTTCTCATCAAAATAAATACGTGAAACTCTCTCATTTATCGAAGTAGTCACCTGGAAACACTCCGGCAAACCCGTCAGCCTTCTCAATTAACTCTTCTATAGGAAGGGCAGCTATGCTTGCATCCTTGTCTTGGCCAAGTAAGGAAGCAGATGGGTACATGTTTGTTCCCATTCCAAGTCTTCGACCAGTTTCCTTGGCAATGGCAAGTTGATCACCTGCAGATATAGAGACAATTGGCAAGTGAGCACAACTACATAGAAAACATAAAATTAATGCATTAAGGGAGGATGGAAATGTGAACTGACTTACCTGTAATCATCTTAACATTAACACCGAGATTAAGAGCCTGGCGGATAGTTTCTGCACTGTCATGTCTTGGAGGATCGAAAAGAGGCAACAATCCAACAAACTGCCATGGACCGCCGGCACTTTCTTTTGATTTTGCAGGTACTTCCTGTTAACATATATCATTAGCAATGGTAAGAGGGTGCTTTAATTCGTAGAAAACTGAACAAATGCAAGACAATACTAAATACGTTAAGGTTGCGTATAAAACCTGTCTAGCAACAGCCAATGACCGAAGGCCACGTTCAGCATATTTATCAATAATGGCAAAAGCCTTCTTCTTGAAATCCTCTTTACAGTTGCAGAGGGTCAAAATCTGATATCACACAGTAATTAATTAGTATGGCGTAAGAAAGCTTACATTTCGACACTGTAAGCAACTTTGGGGCATGTTAAATATAGGGAAAAACAGAAATACCTGCTCAGGGGCACCTTTGCTTGCTCTGTGCCAGTTTTCCATCATCATCAATGTAAGTCAAAGCAGTTCTCTTGTCCACAGGATTAAATGGTAAGAAGTGCACCTCTCTAATACCAGCTCGGGCCTGCATAAATACGAGTTCACCAGATAAGCACATTTGTTGCAAATATTCCCTCCCAGAATTAATGAAGAAGCAAGTACAGGGCTGACAATAAGAAAATTTGGTAAATAGTTATACCTCCTTTGGATCGGCGAGCATTCCAACCATAGCAGCATCAATAGCATCCTGGTTTTCTGTTCTTGAGGACCTTGCAGCAAGCAAAACCACATGTTCTTTCTCCACACCCTTTGCAAACACCTCAACAAGGTTTTTATCAACACTGAGCTTGTTAAGAGTTAGTGTTCCTGTCTTATCACTGCAAAGCACATCCATGCCAGCCATTTCTTCAATGGCAGTCATCCTCTTGGTGATGGCACCCTGCTGAGACAGCCGGTGAGACCCGATAGCCATTGTCACAGACAAGACAGTGGGCATGGCAATGGGAATGCCTCCAATCAAGAGAACCAAGAGATTGTCAATTCCATCCCTGTACTTGCGGTGCTGAATTGGGTACATGACTACGATCTCAATCAGCATTCCAACCGCAATGGAGCAGATACAGAAGTTCCCAATTGCAGTGAGCACCTTCTGGAAGTGTCCAACTTGGTTTGTGCTGTCCACGAGATGTGCAGCCTTCCCAAAGAAAGTATGAACACCGGTGGCAATAACAACAGCTTCAATTTCACCCTGCTTGCAGGTGGAACCGGAGAAAACTTCATCACCTGGATTTTTGGTCACTGGAAGTGATTCTCCAGTGAGGGCAGATTGATCAATCTTTAAAGGATCACCCTCAAGAAGACGAGCATCAGCTGGGACGATATCTCCCAATTTGATGCTGATGATGTCCCCTGGAACCAGAATGGCAGCATCCTCCTCACTCCATTTTCCATCTCTAAGCACCTATTTATACATCAACATGAAACATAAAGGCAGTCTCATATCAATTATCTGTTAAATCCATCTGCACTGCATAAACAATTGAGACAAACTCTACAAATGACTAGTTGTTTAAAAGTCATCACGCATATGTCACCACTACCTTATCACTGTCAATATTCTGAGTACTTTAAATCTAGAATTCTCAGTATGTTTACCATTTTAATCACATTGGTCCAAAGCATGGAGGTTTCCCTACTAGCATCCAAAAATAAGCATATATTTACTTACAAAAACAAAATTCATGCTTCCTAAACGTTCGGTAACTTCAGTACGAAGATAAATTTCAAATGTTCGATTTTTATGAGGCTCTCATTTGGTGTCTGCCATTATTACCTTAGTCTTAGGAGCAAGACCAGCCATAAGAGCAGCAGCTGCATTCCCAGCATTGTTTTCTTCAATGAAACTGATGGTGGAGTTGATGACCAGCAAGCAGACAATACCAACAAAGTCTTGCCAATCTGGGGGCTTCCCATCTCCATTGGCCAGAGCAATTGCCATAATGGCTGCAGCTTCCATGACCCATGACAAAGGATTCCACATGAACCCCAAGAACTTGAGAAATTTGCTTTCCTGTTCATTTTTGTAACACAAATTCCAATTCCATCAGAATTTGAACTAAACTATACTCAAATTTATTGTTTTGTTGTTATTTTACTGAACAAGTTATATTATTAAGCAAAAAGGACCTTCTTCTCTTCTAGTTTGTTGGGACCAAAAATCTCTAGCCTCTGGGCTCCTTCCTCTCCACTTAAACCTTCTCTGGAACATTTCAACTGTTCAAAGACTTCCTCAATTGGAATCCGCTCCTGTAAACCAACCAATATGTAAGGAAAATCCAGAAAGTAATACTACTTGTACCGACGTGATCAGTAAATGCGATACATGTAAAATAACGTTCGTTTTTCGCCTTACAAAAAATATACTAAAAACAAGCCAACCAAATTATAGCTGTTACAGGTACATACCAAAAAATAAAAATGATAGTTGGCACAAGTTAGACAAGCAAGTGTTGGCAACAATCACAACGGTCGGAGAATCACATCTATGAGAACATGTAATGTAACATGCAAATAAGAGTATAGCCGGTTCATTGGTCTGAAATTCTTTTGAGGTCCACATGTGATATTTTCATGCATTAATATTACCCACAAATCCATTACAATTTTATTTTCTAGATTCGTAGATCCCACCCCAAATTAATGCATGAAAATCAAAATCAAAATAAATAAATAAAAACTCTTAAACCTCAAAATCAAAATCAAATGGGTTTGAATTAAATCTTAATAAAATCAAGTTTTCTTTTATTTTATTTTTGGGGATTAATGTGGAATATTTATCCGATGGTAGAATCGAGCGAGTCAACTCGGCACTCAATGTACGAACTGTACAGGCTATGGTATTCTAAATTCTAGCCTAGGGATGCTACCCGATCACAAAAGTGTTGACCGACGCCAAAGATAACATATGCATTTTATTTTAAAAATAATAATTAAAATAAAAACTGTTTGTTCAGTGGGCAGCTCAACTTTTCAACGCCGGAGCCTGTTGGTGCGTGTTCAACACGCGCTCCAGTACCCGAAAAATCGTTGGGATACGAGAGAAAATAACAAAGTAGTCCAAGGGCAAGAGAGGTATGAGAGAAGAATACAAATACAAATAAAATAACTTTTAATTTTAATTCATTTAAAATCCAGGAAGAGATGAGTGGTGTCAGGGTGAGAGGATACTGAGTGTGAGAGTTAGCTCAAAGGAAACGGTTCAATTCTTTTAAGAAAAACAAAAAGAGAATTTCTCAAACAGGGAAAAGCCCAAAGTACCACGGAAAGGTACTCCCAAATTCTAAAGCAAACAAACAGGGCACATAGAGGGAGGAGAGAGAGAGTGAGAGAAAGTGAAAGAAAGAGAGAGAGAGAGAGAGAAAGTGAAAGAAAGAGAGAGAGAGAACTTGTATTGATATATAAAATAAAAAAATTAACATATTGGGAAATTATTAACCCTAGTGGACTCAACCCCTCTCTGTCAGTCACATGTGTAGATCCATTCAATTTGGATACTACCTGAAGATATATTTTATATAGCCTGTTTGGTTGGTGAGAAAATTGAAAACTTTGAATTTTGAGATGTACCCATGTAAGAAAAAGGTTTGTGATGAAAAACCCAGGTGCAAAGTTTATGACTTAAAGACTTGTTATGTATGCATGCAACTAAGAAATTAAGAAACATGAAACAGACCTAGTTTCGTGACATTCAGTCTCCACTTTGTCCGTTCGAGTTAGCTCGAAAAGGAAAAAAAATACATACTCGCAAAGAATCAATTTGGAAATAGAAGTATATATTATTATACATGTGAAGAAAACTCAATACTCAGATCTGAACATCAACCAAATATGAAACAAGCAAAACTCAAAATTTGTTAAGCAAAGGAAACAATTCCATGTATGGCCTAAAACCCAGTTGGTCTAAAGATTAAGCGAAAAAAACCCATCTCAAGAAAAGCAAAAACTAACAACAACAAAAACATGAAGAAAACCAAGAATCCTATATTTTCCTGAGAAAATGAGGAGGAAAATGAGGAAGAAACACATATCTATATATATTATATATATATATACCAGATCAACAGTCTCGTTCTTGATCTCCTCGAGGCTGATAGCCTTGTCTGTGCCCCCCATCTTTCACAAACTTAAAAGCAGAACCAGAGCAAGCAAACTAACAATAAAAATGCTGCGATTTTTTTTGTTTATGTATCAAAAGGAAGAGAGAGGGGAAGAAAATTTAAAGGGCATTGAATGAGATGTTTGAATCCCAAGATGAAAAGAAGAAGAAGGAGGGAGATATGAGGATTGTGGAGAGGGGGGTTGTGGTGCCTCTGGTTTTATACGTCTCTGAAGGAAAGAGAGAATTTTATCCCGCCGTTTAACCCCGTCCCCTAAGTGGGGCCCTCTATGACTTTTAATCTATCTCTTATGTCAAATTATTATTTTCTTCTAGTTTATTTTCATTTTTATTATAAGCGATAGTTTAAACTACAAATGAAGGGAATTTTTCACACACATACACAATCATGACGCGGAGAGAATTCAAATCTCACACACATACACAATTATGGCACCGAAAGGATTCAAATTTGAGACCTCTAGTCTACAAGTTAAGTCCCTTTCTAATTCTAAGTTGTAGCAAAAGGAGGAATAAAATAAATAAATAAATATTATGTATTTTAGGTATTTTAGAGTCTTTGTTTCTCTTCTTTCTCTGATAACCGGTGACTCGTCGGTTGCTGTTGCTGTTGGTGATGATGATTGTTTAATTGTTTTTATGATAGGGATTGCCTTGGGGTTCTGACCTCCCCCATCTTGCAAGGCTCACACACCCAATAAAATGGTCCCAACCCATTGCTTTGCTGACATGGTAGATGTCATGCACCACCACCAATTGCAAATTTGCAAAAGGCATATTTGGTGAAATGTAAATTTAGATTAGTAGTTCATCCTACCCTAACTATTTCGACGGCGGGATTCTAAATCTATGGATTTAGATAGTATTATGACCTGAAATTGTTTGTTTAGACTGTTACATTTTATGTATGTGCAAAGATGAAAAAAAGGAATAAATCAGATGGATTTTAAATGGTTCCTTGTATATAGTCATTTCAAATGTATTATATCTAGTTATTTCAAATGCATTCAACCTAATTTAATTCTTGTTTTAACAATAAATTTAGCCTGGTTGTCAAATCCAAATCCTTTCTTTTAAATCCCTTCATCCAAATGGAGACTAACCCTCCGTTTAGATGAAAGAATTGAAAATTACATAAAATTCTAAAATGACCGAATTTAGATTTCCATCATTTCAATTTCTAGCAATTGAAAATTTTAGTGTTTGGGTTTATATATGTCGAATTTTGTAAACGACAAAATTTTGTAAATTGAACTATAAAAATTGTGAAATGACACCTATTTTGGTGGAAATTAAACTCGGGAATTTGATACCCCAATTTCTATGATTTTTTCTGCATGTCATTTAATAAATTCCATGCTTAAGTTACCAAACAAGGGAATTGTCAATTTCTCCTCTTAAATTCCCGACTTTTAGTTAAATTCCGAATTATTTCCCTCACGTAAACCGATCAAAAGATTTAGCGTGTGGATTTGAAATATATGGAAAATGTTTCAATGATCTGATTTTCTGAAAACTAGAAAGTGTTTAATCATCTAACTGTCATCAAATAAATAAGTTAGTAGATTATTGTTATTAAACATAAAAAAAGATCAAATGGGTGGATATATGGGTCAATTTTTTATTTTTTTTTTTTTTTTTTTTTTTTGTTTTGTGTGTGTGAAATATCTTTAAACATATCATAAGCAATTCAACAATGTGATTTGCTTATCTTTTTAAAATGAAGGCGGCTTATAAGAGACTCATTGATTCCATTAATTCTTATGACCAATTTTCAATTGATCCATCAAATGTGTGGTTAATTAAATTAATTACTTAAATATAATTGGTAAACTAAAATGACCCGCAATAACCATTGTTGTGAAAAAACACATTATAAATGTGACACAACTCAAATGCAACGTAGACCCTGAACTCCTTGTTTATTGGTTCAAAAATGGTTGTTTGATCAAAAGTCATAGTGACCGTAAATAATTGATTAATTTAATTCATTGACTATAAAAGGTCCAATAAATCGCATATTGGGGTAAATGGATGAATAAAATACTCCAGTTAAAGCATGTAAACAAATTTAGAGTCTATAATAGGATATGTAAACTGTATACAAGCGATAGTCTAAATTGCAAGGGAGATAGATTTTTCACACACATATTACTAAAGCGTCATGAGATTCAAACATGAGTCCGCTGATTTGCAAGTTAAGGTCAATTGTCATTGGACTAGACCGGGCAAAGATATAAGTTAACCCAAATGAAATTTCTCAAAATGTTCACAATAAAATGACATGAATAATAATAGCACAAAGAAACAGAAACATGTATTTCCGCCGTGCACCTAAGAAGGGACCGCTTATAATCCATAGTGTGTGGGTCCGCTTATAACATGATGAGTATAGAACCAGTAGCACATGGTAGGGATAATTTTTGTAAATATGCTTGGCCTAAAAACATATTGTATATTATAAATAGGGAAAACAATAAAATAGAGTATAATAGAGTTCTTTATTATTATATGATGAGAGGATTTGACTTTAATTTGGTGGGACCCTAAATAATCGAAAGTCGTCGAACCTTGGCAGCCTAGAAAAACACATATTCTTAATAATAATATCTAAAAGAAGAAGAAGGAAAAAACAACAATAATAGAAAGGAGATGCCATTTCGCCCAGGCCTCTCCCGACCGTTGGATTTTTAGTTTTTCTTTTCCTTTCTTCCTTTGATTTTAGGTTTTTTTTTAAAAATAAAATAAAATAAAGATTTCATTTATAAACCAAAAAGGCATGTAAATACCAGTACAATGGCCTCATTAAAACATTCCTAGGAAAACTACATGGTGTAAACCTAAAAGTTAAAAAAAGTACCACACATGTCATGGACTAACAAGAAAAACCGAAATAAACAGACAAAACAACGCACAACTCCAAGCCCCGCAAAGACCATAACATCATATGCACGCATAGTTCACGTACAAAATAACATATTGTGAGCGTCAAAACATAGCCAACAGAAGTATGCTGGCATCTTAGCTTGACGAATTTCCAACACAAGAACATCATAATAGGAACGTTTATAAGATGCCAAGCCAATAAACATTCCAGCAAACACATAGGGAGAATTGGGAGACCCCTTGAGCTTGGTCACAGTCACCTTATCAGCAAACTTGTCGATGCATAAAAATCTCTCAAAAATATTAAGGGCTCGATCACCACCCGGATCCCTGATCCCTGATCCCCATCACAAAAGAACCCAGCAAGAGGGGAACATAGATTGCAACCAACAGCCTTAGCCGCCTAAAACCGTGCCCAACACTAAAGATCCTAGAATGCACAAAAGCCATATAGTCCAAGAAAAAACCAGATGCCAACATCTTGTAAACCCGCAGCCTGCACCACCAAGCTATCAAACCATGGAGAATGAAGGATCTGACCAAGAAGGTAGCTACACACTAACAAAACTGACAGAACAGGCAATGAACGAACAACGCACAATGATCGTTGTGACGACACTAAGGCAGAAAAACCTAGTCGTGATCCCCAATTCGATTGAAGCAAGCCAACACCGCCTCGAGGCTAAGAGGAAAAAGATGCACTAATGGAAGTTGTCGCTCGAAAACTAAGAGAGAGAGACAAGGATGAAGCCAACACTACGGGAATTAACATAATGAAAGACGACGGTATAGCTGGACATGGAAGAAAACATAACCCTAAAAATATCGCACACTCTTCTGAATTGGGGTAAATTATTTCCTTTGATTGCAATTGAGTTCTAATCAAACACATTTTTATTTTTTGTTGGAAATTTAATCAACAAATTTAAGAATATATGGTGAGCTCATGAACCCTAATTCGTATAGTGGTCTCACCCTAATACCTAGAGGTAATTCTTATATACAAAATAATTCTATAATCTATATATATAAAGCAAAAGGCAGAGAATGATGAAACATTCAAAATACCATAAAATACCATTGGTTAATTCAAACTTTAAGAATTGAAATTATTAATTAAATGATGATAATATGGTAAATTCATATTTTTATATTAAAAAATTTAAAATTAAAAACAAAATTAGATAATATATCCTACTTTTATGGAACATAATTACCCATGTTATATTTTCTTAATTCTTAAAATAAAATAAAAAAGAAAAAAGAAAACCAATTGGTACATGCGTGAGCATGTGCTAAGGGGCTAGTAATTGAAATGAGAAGTCATTATGTTGACTTGGAGCATCGACACTCCTCTTTATTATGTTGAATAATTCCATCTAATTATATAATCATTAAATTTCATGAAGAAAATTTTGAAAGTTTAATCATCCATTCGTTTATTCAAACTCAGAAACAACCCACCTTTTTCCCCTTTTATTAAACATTTTTTTTATTGTTATATATGCAATAAAAACCGTCCTAGTCCAGGTACAACGAGGGAGTTTAAATGTTGTAACGATTATTAAGAAGGGAGAATAGGCCATGCAATTAGGGTTGGCCATAGGTTGGTTCATCCGCCAAATCAACAATCGAATTGCCGGCAACATGTAGGCTCGGATTGATCCCAATACAAAATTCAAAGTTTCAACTGCGTCTACTAAGAAAATACTAAGAAAATGCCAAGATTAGCGGGACATGAACGTTCAGGTGCAATGTGCTGTAATTATTTATCTGCAAAAAACAATTTTATTATGTTGGTTAATTCTTGGGCTCTTACCTTTAACTCTATATTTTAAAATTTTCTTTTTCCCAATAACTCTATATTTTAATTGTCTGGCTGCAGTTATTGCTTTTCTTTTTGTTTTTAATTCTAGGAAACTAGGAGTCTGGGAAGATTACATATTTGTATAAATAAATGATTTATGTGCCCTAATTAGAGTATCATTGTGCCAGGTGAGCATTTTCTTTGTTATAATTACCATGTTATAGTTTATTTGCTCTCTTTGTTTTTGGTAACCGGCAATTATTGTAGCTATATATGAGAGCAACATTGCTGTACTTCTCAATT